AACAATTTACCAACCACGGCCATTCGATGAATTGTTGCGTTTGCCATGACGTCCGGCGTATCCTTCGCGAACGCGCCTTCACATTTCACTCCTCGTCCGACGTTTCGGACGTCGTGCCTCGAGCGCGACATCAGGCGTCCTACCGAAAAACGCGCGACACGACCCGGAAAACAAAACCACGCAGACCCTGAGCAGTAGACGTGGTGATATCCCCCAAAATTAATAGGATCGCCGGAGTCAGTTAGTTTTTTTGTGGAGGGGGTGGGGTAAAGAGAATTGTAACGCACCTGGCGTCCGTTTTTTGTTCTGCACCTCGGAAAACCCGATGCGGTTACGCTTGCCAAAAGCGATGGCTTTCACGGCAGGCGCTTGTCAATATCGCGGTCTGAGTGAGATCGATTCTTTTCTAGGCACATTTTCTGTTGCGGTCAAAACACCGCCGCGATATATAATATCGATGTAAAAAAAAAATGAAAGAAGAGTGGGGGGAGGGGGGGGGGAACAAAAACAGATATACGTTGACCTTTCAGTTGAACGCTTTTGTCTTTTAACTTTGGACAAATGCATGACATAATCAAGAGTGGCTTTTCGCAGTTTCTGTGGCCCATCGCAGAGTACGATGGAGACGATGCCCCAGATATTGCATCGTGCGGCCGCCACAGCAGGTCGCAATGTTCTCGGTTGAAGTAGGCGACACGTGACTCCGTAGCCAGTTGCCACAGCCATTATGATCATCGTTGTCATCGGCCATGGTCAGTCCACTGCTGGATGCAGTCCACTCTACCCCCCCCCCACCTCCCAAGCCGCCACCAACTCTCGCGATATAATAAATTGTCCAGCACGCATCCCTACGTGCCTGTCCGTTCTAGTCTTCTTATTACCCGCAACAAACACGGATCGTATAAACGCTCATGGCTCACATCCATCCTCAACCATCGTCCAGCCTTGATCCGGCAGTGGATAGATCGGAGCCAGTGACGAAATTCACGACGAGGATTCGACACGGGGGACCTCGCGTCCTACAATTGTGACCTCGTCGCTTTGGCGGCTGGTAAATGTTTGTACGTTTCTGGCTTGACGCGGGAAACGGAGGACGTAGCGTCGCACGCACCGGCGGTGTGTGTGTGTGTACGTGTGCGTAATTCACATTTGTATTCGCACGACACGTGGGCACGCATCGGGCTGGGAGGTAATCATCTCGGTCTTTATTATTCACCGTGAACCCAGGAGAGGTTTTAATTGAGATCCTTTGACGTGGGTGTTTTGGTGCTGATAAAACAAACCGAGAGAAAAAAAAACACACAACAGTCTTCAAAATGCAGATTGCGTCGCTTATTCCTGTTAAAAAAAATAAAAATTCGCCTGCCGTTTTAATCTCTGTCTTTTTCGATGGGATTAAATTCTCTTTCACAATTAACAAGTCGCACGGTAAAAATGACAAATCGGTTCGCGTGCAGGTGCTAGGTGGATTATTCACATCGCGGGATTGTGAGGGAAGGCGGTGGTTAGGGGGAGGCCTGCATCCCCTCCCCCCCATTTTCACCACGCTGGTAAGTGAGACATTTTTTGAAAGAGCTTGTGCCCAGCACCGGTTCAAACTTTGCTCGCCGCTGATTTGGTAGTCGCCGGCGATCGAAAATCGAGTCGCCGGATATTTAGTGCCGTGTGCCAACCGCCGTGCCACCTTCTCTTTGCCTTACATGTTTAGGGTCTGTTAACCTAAACATGTTTAGGGTTTGTTAACCTAAACATGTTTAGGGTTTGTTAACCTAAACATGTTTAGGGTTTGTTAACCTAAACATGTAAATTCGTATGTCATTTACACCATTGGAACCTCCTTTGCCAGGAGCAAAATATAATAATTGTTTTTTTTACCCTTTTATCTTGCAACAAAACTGCATTGACCACAATACCTGCGGTCGGAATGCAAACAAAAAACACAACTCTGATAATGTATGCACTGTCCTTGACATTGATTGGTCCACACCCTAGACAGCTTTCCTTAGAGCCTAGTCTCACATGGTGTTGGACCAGATGACGCCAAAAGGCGCACAACTCAAACACAATGCACTATCAGAGTATGAGAGCTCGGGGTAAGCATAAAAAATTTCCATTTTGCAAAGCGATGCGTTTCCCCCCCCCTCTTCTCTCACTTGTAACTTCAAGAATATTTTCCCTCCGCTGCCATACTCACTTGCTCTCTTGAATCCTTTTGTCGGGAATACTTTGGAATCGTTTTGTAAAAATGCGGGTGAGCTTAGGCGGTCGGTCCGTTTGTGCTAAAAGTGCCCCAGGGAAATGCGTGGTCGGTGCGGGAATTGATAACGGTTCTTTAAATAGTTAGGGCTCTCATTCAGCCGCATAGGCCTTTGTTGGCTGCCATGGAATCCGTGTGTGTGTGTTTTTTTCACAATTCCAAAGCAAATATTTTAATGAACATTCAAATGCACACCAGCCCTCCCAAGGGCACAACCGGTGAAAGACGCAGGCAAATATGAATATATATACGTTCAAACCAATTGTGTCCGCAGTGTAAACGTAATGTGAGCACGGAGATGGCGAGTCAATGCGTTTAAAAAAAAAGGGGCGCACAAAGTGAAACCGCGCAGCGTGGACCGCACGCACGGTCACCCAACCCACAATGCACCGCACACGGAGACGGCTGCCTGCTAAGTACCGCACACAGTAGACACACATACGGTACGCACACACGGTACACACGCACATTACACAGAGTACACACGCACATAAACAGTACACACAATGTTGACCCACGTTCGACCGCATGTCAGCATGATTTCAACCTGTATATAGCGAATTCAGGGTAGAAATAGGTTAGCCGCATATACAGCACGAATTCGCACAAACCGTGTGTGCGGGTTTGCGGGAGTCTTTGTGTTTTTCGTGCAATATTCGCCGAGTGGCAAATTTGCCCCGTCAGTCGCAGTTGTCTATCGGCCCCTGTCACGAGCAGTTGGCATCTTTCAAATGGTTCCTCGCGGTTGGCAAAGGACCCTGAAGGCTACTCCCATCTCCGTTGAGGAGATGGGAGTGATGTGGGCAACTCACGTGCGTGAGTGAGATGGACTTTGGCATTCGTGGACTATTGGGGAGATGGAGGTTGTTTTTCCTTTTGTTTTTAATTATTGCAATATTTGTCAGCAGGGAAAATCCCATGAGATTAAATGCCGTCATTTTCAAAGGTGCCCACACAGTGAGAGGGAAAGCCCTTCATTCACGCACCAGTGGGTCAGAACTTGGCTGGTGATGATTATTAAAATATGGCATTATCCTTTGTGGACACATTTGTAATATGCTTTCCAATTGCAAATTCCAGAAGGTATCACGTTTGAATTCACATTTTGACAACCGCTGTTTTTTAGTTGACAATATAATTTCACATTCACGTGATAAGTTTGCACTCTTTATGTCTTCACCGTGGCATTTGAAAAGTAACGGATGGACTCATGGCTGTAATTGTTGCTTTTGCAAAACCTGCCAGGATAGCCTGAAATTCGTTCTCAACTAAACTATTAAACTAAACTTTTTCTTATTTTACCAGGTAAGGCCCACTGAGCTGTATAGCTCTTTTTCAGAAGCGACCTGGCCACAAATGATAGCTCAACAAAGTGGCTCATCGCGTGGACATTTATAGTGGCCGAATGCTCTAAACGCGTGACGTTGAATCGAAATGTGGAGGGAAAAACCGGAGGCCCCGGAGAAAAATCCACGCGATAACGGGGAGAGAGACACGCAAACTCCAAGTATACACCAGCCGTCAGGGTCGGAATCGAACCCACGACCTCCTGCATACCAGGCGAGGTAGTCAACATCTCGCCACTGAAATGTTAACGTCGGAGTTAAACGTCTTGCCGGAGAGGGGGTGGGGTTTGATGACATGCGTCGGGCGATCGCTCCGGCACACCTACCGTGGGGGGGTTGGCGTGTTCGCCGGACGGGTTTCTTGCTGGATGTGGTCGAGGCAGAAGCCACGTTAACCTCCGCCCCCTGACATTTTGTCTCGATCTCCTCCGTGTCAACCCCGCCGCTGCGCTCCAGGACACCGTGCAGCACCGCCCTCGCCCACTCGCACCCCCTCCCTTCTCCACGCTCTCTCCGGCTCTTGCATTGTTTGACGGTGCTCGCGTCTTCATCGAACGGTGGAGAAGTTTTTTGCTCGCTCGACGCTCTGTCGTTCGATCGGATTCCCCCCTCCTCCCGCCCCCCATGTCGCTTCCATAACGTTCCTGACCGGCTCATTTCAATCGGGGCGCCACGGATGGAAACTTGTCCGCGCCACATCCCGCGCGCTACAATTAGTCGCCGCGTCCTGTTTCGCCCCCGCCCGCCCCGTATCTTCGTTATTGTTTGAAGAATCGAGCCACCAAAAATCGATGACCCGTCGATCGGACCGCGGCCTCACGGCGATGTTGAGACCAGTCCGTCTCCGTTCTCGCCGGGTCGCCCAGGGTTCAGAGCGGCTGAGCCGCCTACCGCCGACATATCCCGAGTTCGAATCCAGTGGTGACCGGGTCGTCAGTCCGGTCCCCAGTAACTGCACGGAAAAAAAAATATATCCATCTCGTTAAATTTGGCTCTGCTGAATTCCAATTGTGAAAATTGTATTATTGCTTTGATTGTCACGCGATGAACATCGCTGTCGCATGCAGAAGCGGGTTTTGAAAGTGCTGCTCACTACTGTGCGTTATGCATTTTTAACTTCTTTCGCACCGTGCGTAGCCGACCGTGCTAATCGGAGGTGCGGCGGAAGGACAACAAACACTAAAGGCAAGACGCGTAGGTCACTTAAAAGGATCTCAGCAGGTCGCTTTGTGGGACCTGCTTCCCGTGGCCCCTTCTCCAACACGAAGGTTTGCGCTGCGAGAGATTCGATCGGATGATGCCACTCCGATCGCACAATTGAGGTTAAAACTGGGTAAACATTTTTTTCTTCAAAACTAATTTGTTTTGTTGGTGTGTGTGTGTGTGTGTTTCTGTAGATCCTCATCGTTGGGGGTTCGTTTGGCTTGAAGGAATTCGCACAGATTCGATATGACGCCTCCAAAAACAAAGGCAGGGTAAGCGCAATATTAACTGTAAGATTATTCTTGGGGGAAAAAAATTACATCTGAAATTTGTATCTTTATTTGATTTCTCACTTCTTTACGAATGCCCTCCAGATGCATGCCCTAAATGTGCGCACATCTAGTCGGGGGACAATATCACCCTAATCCCATTGAACAAGCATACACGTGGCATTGTGACACAAGCGTGAGGATGAGCGTGCAATGTAGCAAAGGCAAAATTCCCCCATGTAGCCTGCACATGCTGTTGGGGCAAGTGCTGTTTGCGTGCACCTTTTGAAGGCTTGGCACTGCACGAGCGGGTGGTGTGGTCAACGCCCCACACCTGCCCAGCCACCATATGGCACCAGGTACTCGGTTAAGGCTGAGTAGACCTAGGGGAAACCCAGGACTGGTTAAGATAAACGTCACTGACGTTGGCCGTGAGCGGTAATCGAACTCCGGCCCCTGGGTTTGGTAGCGCAAAGCTCTCACGCACACACATACAAGTACATGCTCACGCGCACACACACACAAGTGCACGCTCAGCGTACACACACACACAAGTACACGCGCACGCACACACATACACAAGTACACGCTCACGCACACACACATACACAAGTACACACGCGCACACACACACACAAGTGCACACACATACACACACAAGTACATGCTCACGCACACACACATACACAAGTACACGCTCACGCACACACATACACAAGTACACACGCGCACACACACACAAGTGCACGCTCACATACACACAAGTGCACGCGCGCACACACACACAAGTGCACACACACACACAAGTGGACGCGCACACACAAGTGCACACACACACACACACAAGTGGACGCGCGTGTGTTCCGTCTCTTTGCTCGCAGATGGACCCGAAGTTGTTGGCCCAGCTGAAGGAGAAGGAGTCCGTGAGCCTGGAGAAGGAGTATGAGGTTGGAGGCCTTCACTCACGCATCTTTGCCATCGTTTTGCTCCTCATTACCCACACTGGCATGCCCCTCATTAGCAATACAGCAGCCGTAGCAGCCCCGTGAAAACAACAGAAAACGCTGCCGCATTCACGACATAGATTCGCGCCGAGCCAGATGCCCCGGCCCGTCGTTTTTTTATTATAATTTTTTTTCCGGCTTTTGCGCAGCGTTACGAATCTGACGAGGCTCCCCGAGCACGCGGCAAGCGCTCGTTTATCGGCGTTTTGGAAACGGGGGACGCCTCCCCGAGGTGGTTGGTGGCGGCTACGTCCCTCCGGGAATTAACCCCCGGACTTGACCCCACGATTAGCCAAACGAGGCGGCGCGCGTCCGCCCGCTTGGCCTCATCAGGTGAGGCCAGCGCGGTTAATCAAGTGATTTACGGCCGTCCTCGCGACGCCCTGTCGTTCCTCGGGGGGAGGCCCCCTCATCGTCACCGTCACCACGGGCCTGTGGTCTAACCGCTGCTGGATGAAGGCCTCACCGAGCCGTGGCCATCTCCCGCGCTCCTGCGGTGCGACTTTTCCTCCGAGCGCCCTGCCCCCTGGGCTCACATGGTCGCTCCTCAATTTCCCGCACGCGACGTCAAGTTCACGATTCCACCATTGTATGCAATTGATAGATTTTATAGCGGTCTAATAATATCCGATTTACTTTGGAAAGTCTCAAATGAATCTCAATGTATCATCATCATCGCCCATGATCGATCCACTTCTTCAACCATCGCTTTTCCTCATGGAGCTGCGATGGCTAGCCCCCGAACAAAGACGGTCACCGCACCGCGCGCTTTCAGGTGCACTTCTGCGGCTGTCTGGAACGCTCTTCCTTTAAATCTTAGGAAGCCACTGGAGCTATGCACACATTTCTTTGGAAACTGCTTTTTGTGTTTAGTTTGTTGACCTTCCCCCGCACCTCCGATTAGCACGGTTGGATACGGTGCGAAAGAAGTTCAACACACGTACATACAGCCACGCACCGGAAAGTGTTGTTGTTCGGGAAAGTGGAAGGAACCTGAAAGTGAGGAAGCCCTAACAGGGAATGACTTGACGATGACGACATAAGAGATTGGTCCCAAAAAGATGTGGCCACTACCTAAAAGTGTAAACAGATGACGAAATGTGCAGTGGACACCTACGGGGCTACCTTGCCCCATGGATCGTGGTGGTGACGACAATCATGACGATGCACCGAGCATCGGCGGTCGAGCCGACTTTCACCGGTCCCCGTTCGCGGTGGGCGTCCACTTCCGGCACGTTCCTCGCTTTGGCCGCCGCTCCGTACGTGGCCCCGGCCAGCAGCCTGCGCACAACGGCAACAACAACGACGACAACAACGGCAACAACAACGACAACAACAACGACGACGACGACGAGATTCTTCAAGAGCGTGTCCCGAGCCTGAGAATCGATTTTTAAATCGACGAATCGCCCACCGCCATCGTTGCCCAACCCAGCGGCGGATGTTCTGGCGGTGGTATGAAAGCGTTAGTATTCTGATCCCTTGTCATGTGTACCTGCGTTGGTGCGTTCGTTCGTGCGCGCGCGTGTGAGTGCTCGCTTTCCGTAACCACTCCGGTGTCTTCCCACTTGGCTCACCGAGGCTCAGAGAGGCTCAGCGAGGCTTTCCTGAATAAATAAATAATTGTTTATTTTTTATTTATAACCGGCCAAGAGCTCATTGAAAGTAAAGTTTCTCTTGCGGGCGGAGCAGCCTCCGAATTTACGAGCAGTGCTGCTGCTTTTCACAGTGCAAATATTTCAGTGCACGCACACACAAAAGAAATGAGTAAATGCGGAATAGGATTAATAATAAGAGCTCAAGGTGAGATTTCAAGCTAAAATATATCTAAGCATAGCGACCATGGTCCCCTACCGGCAGACTAAAGCCCATTATCAGACCAGGTGCCGCCAGACACATCTGCCACTGGGAAATCCTCATTTAAATTATTCAACTATGTTTTATTTCACCAGGTAAGACCCACTGAGCTATCTAGTTATTTTTCCAGAAGCAACCCGGCCACAAATAACAGCTCTACGAAGTGGCTCATCATGTTGAAATGTGCAGCAGCCAAATACCATAAACGCGTGACATTGATTCTAAATGTGGAGGGAAATACCGGAGGACCCGGAAAAAAATCCACGCGACCACGGGGAGAGAGACACGCAAACTCCAAATATACAGCAGCAGGCGTCAGTGTCGGGATTGAACCCACGACCTCCTGTATTCCAGGCGAGGTAGTTAACATCTGGCCACCGTGGCCTCCCGGCGACATTTTGTTGCAACATTTGTTGCCGAGCGGATGAGATGCGACGTTGGAGCTCTCCCGGCCGGCCCGGCGTTCGGTCAGTTTGGCGCCGCGTCACTCAACGAAATCGTCCCCTCCGTGTGCCGCCGCGTGCGACGTTTGCAGAAGCTGAAGGAGGCAGAAACGGACGCGTGGGTCAACATCCGTGGGCCGCGGCCGTGGGAGGACTCGAGGACGGTGCAGGACGCCCAGCGGAAGGAAATCCAGAAGCAGCCGTGAGCTGGCGCGCACGGAGGAGGAGGAGGAGGGCGGAGGGAGAGTGGCCGCGTCGTTTCCCGCGACCGATCCGCGCGCAGGGGCCGGATTTTACGCGGGGGGCGAACAGGGGGGACGTGCCGTGCGTTCGTGGTAACAAAACTTTAGCGGGGGGGAGGGGGTGGACCCCACGATAAATGAACAATGCTTGTTTGATCAAGAAAGGTAGGTATGTTTATTCATATTATCATTTTAATATGATATGTATATATACTTTATGGCTTCCATTATAAAATAAAATAAACAAAAACGTGTGTTCTCTTGAATCAGTCCGGGGGGATAAATTGGAAATGCGCAAGCTGAAAAACGACGTGTGGCAATGGTGATGGTAGTGTGTGAAGCTGGGGGTAACAGACTGGGAGTAAGGATATGACTATGAAAATAAATCTAAACTGGCTGTCTAGCAGTAAACTGCACGGCAGCTAAAGTTTTTAATTGGTTAATTACATCCTTCCAATGATTGCTCAATAAAAAAATCCATCACCTCGGTTGCGCGATATCTAGCGAAGACGTCAGCGACAACGAGACGAGTCCACTCCCAGAACCGGCAGCCCTGAGCTCCGGCTCTCAGCTGCTTTTATTCCCCTCGGCGTGGCCTGGCTCCGCCCTGACCACGCCTCCCTTCTCGAACCCACGAGCGAGTTCCAGGGGCTTCCAGACGGGGTCTTCCATGACCCTTGCCCCAGTTCCTCTGCCCTGCCGACACACCCGTCTATATGCTCACCAGCGTGTGTACTGTTTGTCCACCCCACTATTACACGACATCTGTTTTCCCCCTGGGGGCAAAGATACCTGAATCCTGCCCCATTTGCTCGGTTTTGAATCGCTTTGAACGATTCGTCATTTTGAGTTTTTGTCGTTGGTGTTGATGCCCAGGTAGCTGAGGATCCTCCGAACAGCAGGTCGCATCTTCCCATCATCCAAGGGCACTACGGTAGCGAGATGTTAACTACCTTGCCTGGTATACAGCAGGCCGTGTGGGTTCGATCCCGACCCTGACGCCTGCTGTATATTTGGAGTTTTTCTGTTCTCCACATTTAGAACACACGTGTAGAGTATTTGGCCGCTATAAATGTCCACGTGATGAGCCACTTGGCTGAGCTGTCATTTGTGACCACGTCGCTTCTGAAAAAGAGCTATACAGCTCAGTGGGCCTTACCTGGTAAAATAAGAAAAAGTTTAGTTTAATAGTTTAGTTTAGAACGAATTTCAGGCCATCCTGGCAGGTTTTGTGAAAGTAACGATTACAGCCGTGAGTCCATCCGTTGCTTTTCAAATGCCACGGTGAAGACATAAAGAGTGCAACCTTATCACGTGAATGTGAAATTATATTGTCAACTAAAAAACAGCGGTTGTCAAAATGTGAATTCAAGTGTGTTAGCTTCTGGAATATTCTGACGAGGGCCTTACCTGGTGGAAAAAAAATGTGTTTAGTTTATAGTTTATCTTTGCGGAGAAGTCAACGCCACGAACGCGGAGGCTTTCGACCGGCAGAGGCGCCCCTGCCATGTGACCTCACGACTTTTTCCTGCCTCTGCAGAGGGGAGCAACGCCGGTTCCATTTGATCTCCCCACGTGGTACTTTCAACATTGCTACAAATCCTGCCTCTAGCCAGTGGTTGGGTAAAGTGTGGGCACTGCCGACGTCTTCCTAAGACACTTGGGGCTCTGTCGAACGACTTCGAGGCGGGAAGGCCCTCTTGGCGGCGGTTGGGTTGAGCAAGGCATTGCAGGGCTGCACCTTTTACTGGTTACCTTTATTCATGCTGAGAAGTAACCTAAGGGGCTTTACACTAACGTCCCCTTTCCGTGGCATGGAATCCCGTTCCAGGCTCTTTGTAACATTTTCCTTTTTAAGGTTTTTTGTGTTTAACACGTAGGCTTGCGTGACCAATATCCATAATACAGGTTTTTTTGGGGGGTTAGATCGCGTAAATATATAAATGTCTCGTTAAACCTGCCAACCCCCCCCCCCCCCCCCACTTCACGCAAGGAGAACACACAAGTGTCGTCATCACATCTACCCCTCTATTTAAGGAACGAAGCAGGAGGATTTCTCCACTACTCTGGCTGTCGCCTGATGCAGCTTGTTGCAGTTACTGGCGAAACGTTGTACTCAGTTTGTGAATGTTGTGGCTTTGCGCTCCAACACACCGGTTAGTGCAGTACTAGTGAGTCATTGGCATGTTCTGTTTACGTGACAACCCTTGCTAATTGGCCGTGTCGGATGGTGGCGGGTTTAACGACACATTTAGATATTTACGCGATCTAACCCAAAAAAAACTTTATTATGGATGTTTTTTTTTATTAGCGCAAGTCGGAGCATTTTTCATTTAAGGGCATCTCTCTCCCCACCCCTCTCCCCCGGTCTTTTGTTTAAATTTTCAACTTGACAATTTCAGTTTGCGCTCACTTTGGCATCTTCTTTTCACGGTGGCCGATGTCACCAAAGTGTGGCGACGTTGCAGAGGAAGGCCGAAGCCTCCTCGTGTGAAGCGCAAATTTTCAAAAAGCGATCACTTTTAACACCTCGACGAATCTCAAGAGTTCAGTTTATTATTTTAAAACATTTTTTAATTGCCAAACCTCTCAGAGATTATCGTCTCGATGACGTTCTTTTTTTTAAAACTAAAAATGTGAAATAGTTGAAATGAAAAAAAGAGTAGCATTTCAAATGTTACTTTTTTTGAAAAAAAGTAACTGATATAAAAAACGCAGTGTGTACTTAAATGCCTAAAGGAAGGATGACTTATTAGCTTCATCAAATATAAATAGGTTGATGTAATTGGCAAAGGGAAGAGAAAATAAGCATTTAGTGTTGGTGCCGATATATCACTAAGCCTTGAGGCTTGTCAGCCAAAATGTTAACATTTTCCATCTGTGTATCCCACAATCTCATTAAGGAAAAAAAACATTTGTATACGGTCTTATAACAGCCTCGGGTCTGCTGTAGCACAGAAATATCTCGTATTATTTTCCACGCCACTAATTCCTGTAGTTAGGGTGAAATATCGTTCTCAACTGTTATGCGTAACAATGCGGTCGCCGTTATTGTTGTAACAATCACTTATGCCTCCTTAATTGCGTGTTGGAAAGTACGTAATGAAATCGGTAACTTTGGCTCCAAGGAATAATTGTTATTAAGGTGATGGGTTGAGTGTTAGGACTTAACAAATTTTCCGATGGAATAATTGGGTATTCAAGTCGGGAGGTAATTTATCCCTGTGGTCATGTGCGTGATATTTTGAGGTTATTTTTTTAATTTACTGTTGTTGACTTGTGAATATGTATAATGATGACTTGTGACTGATCGCATAAGCCAAGCAGTTCAAAGCACACTGCTAATATTGGAACAAGCAAGCTGTACAATACTTTAATGACGCAAATGTCGATCTCTGCAGGTTTAAAAAATGCTTACGTCCCATTAGTGCGTGAGTTTTTCTACCCACGGTTTTTCAGCAGTATTTCTTTAAGCAGGCATTCAAAAGATGGATCGGTTTTGATTTCCAGAAGCTCATCACCAGTCTGTCTAATGGATCTTAGTAACACTGCATGATGTGCATGTACAGCCGCTGTGTCAATAAACCGATGGATTGAGCCTTCCCCACGCAGTGCGCTTCGTGCGGTGGGTTATTTGACCATACTTCACCACGCCGGTCCTGCGCGGGCCGGCGTACGTGGGATGGCACACTGCGGCCGTGCGTTGTGCACGTGCATGCTGACTCCACTCCACTCCTCGCTCAACCCGTGACTTGAGAAGGGGGACGTTAGCGCAAGCCCCTTTTTATGTTATTTACTGCTCAGAAAAGGTGCAGCCCTGCAATGCCGTGCTCAACCCAACTGCTGCGAGAAGGGCCTCCACTTCGAGAGGCCGCTCGACAGAGCCCCACTCGATCACTCGTCCAAGTGTCTTGGGAAGACGTTGGCAGTAGCCGCACTTTACCCAACTCGTGGCCGGAGACAAGACTCGCTCCATTGCTTCAGCTGCCGCGCCGGAAGATCGAATGGAACCGCGGGGACCTCTCCAATGTAAGTCCGGCCAGTGCGGTGCTGACCGTTACGACCACGGCCAGCGTCAAGCCCAGAATCGTTTTTGTTTCTTCTCCACTGAAAGTGGCTTTTCGGGAGACACCTCCGAGCGTGCCTCCTCCCGCCTTGAGGATTCCTGGAATTCGATGGCAACGTTAGGAGATGCACATTCACGAGTGGGCTTCGAGAATTCCTTTTGTCGCTTGGCTGCGGTGAGGGCGAGGTGTTGCGTAACCACGTCTCGCCAGCCGAGCCACTGACGGTGAAAACTTTGGGGAGAGGGGGGGGGAGACGCGTAAAGAATTGGCAGCGCCGCGTAATTCCGACAAATCACCTCCGGGTCAATAAACGCTCGAACGCGCAGACGGCTCGAACAAAACAAATCCAGAGAATGCCCGTCCGCATTTACGGCCCTCTCCAAATCTCTCGCTCTCGTTTCATTCGACCCCGCGATTATTTCACGGAATAATGCCCCGATGTCACGGCCGCGGTGTTTGCTCAGAGGTGGGGGGCTGACGCAGTTAACGCCGCCGCGTGCGAAATGGCAAGACGGGCGCCCCCCCCCCCTTTTTTTTTTCTTTCCCGGCGTCTATCGACCGAGGTTCATTACCGAAATGACGCAGCCGTCTCCGCCGTTACTCGCCCCTTGCCCGTGGGTGACTCCTCGGCCCTGCCCATGAAGGTGCTCAGCCGGCAGCCTTTGCGTGGCCGTCATCCCCGTCGCAGCGTTGGAGCGGCGCGCTGGAGCAGAGGTGTTCGTCGTGAAAACGCACGGGCGAACACAGAAACAAAGAACCCCACCGCGTTCTCTTGCATCTTCTCGAGCACGCTGATGACGGACACGAGCCTTTGTGCCCGTCCGGGGACGGAAGCTGTAATATTTACGAAAACATTGAGCACAGTATAATTCTTCTTGGTGCTTTCGGTAAAGTCACGTAGAAGGGAAATAATAAAATAATAAAACATCATAAAATAGTAATGTTTTATTTTTATTATTGTATTATTTCCCTTCTACGTGACTTTACCGAAAGAATCAAGAAGATGAATCCCTGCAGTCACGAAAGCTTTAAATCGAAATTTACACAGTATAATTGTATCTTGTGTCAATTTAATGGCAGTGAATCTTGTACAAAAGTATGTCATCAAACACTTCACTGCATTTCACTGTAGCACTGTATTAATGGCAGTGATTCTTGCACAAAACTAAGTCCTAAAACACCTCACTTCATGCCACTGTAGCACTGTATATATAACTGACCTTCAATTTCTTCAAATTCACTGCTCTCATACTTTATTCTCTTCTGCTTCCGGTCGCTGGGGTTGAAATAAATGGGAAATCGATACAATATCTGGAAAATCACCGAGAAATGTCGATTTTACCATAATGCAGAAGCATAAATTAGACTTACCTTTTGTCTCAAGTGCTGAAGAAATAAATAAAGACACCAAATCCACTTTGTTGCTGCGTATAATTATTTATCAGATTAACTTTCAATGAAGACACGTCAAACTTAAAGCGAATTTGCAAAAACAAATATTTCCGCTCGACCTGCAAAAAGCCACCCGCTCATGAATATTAATGACAGGGGGTGCGGCATGTGGAGTGACGTCACGCGCGTTACACACAGACATTCTTGGCTCATTATAGTAATAATAGGTTTTACCCTTTCTGGCAATCAAACAGTTGTGTTAAGTTGTTAAAACACCAGACAGAGACCTTTTGCAAGGAATCCTACTTATAACGATTTGTTTTAGTCCGTACGGCGATTCGCTCTCCAGACCAAAAATTGTCCGGCAGAATTTGCTTAAGCAAGAAAACTGAACATGCTTGAACCCGCTCTTGGTTCACAGCAACATCTACTGAGTTTGTATACAAGACTGAGTACGGCCCCACAGCTAAGTTGGAGTGCTCTTGCCAATAACAACTGCTAACCCAGCAGCATTTATTTAACAAATCATTGACTGGTCTGGGAAGCCAATATACTGATAAACTAACACGTTATTGTTCCGATTATACATCGCGACATGGTTCTGCTTTTTGCCTTCTCACTGTGCCCAATCCCAGTTTCGGTCCTTCTCCCTCCTTGCACCCCTCCACTGGAATAAACTTCCCTGTGCATTGAGCAGCACTGCCCACAGACTCAGCACTGCCCATAGACTCAACACTGCACCATAGACCCAACACTGCCCAAAGACTTAGCACTGCCCATAGACTCAGTACTGCCCATAGACACAACACTGTTCATAGACTCAAAACTGCTCAGACTCCACACTGCCCATAGACTGAACACTGCCAACAGACTCCACACTGCCCATAGACTCCACACTGCCCATATACTCAACACTGCCCATAGACTCAACACTGCCCATAGACTCAACACTGCCCATAGACTCAGCACTGCTCATAGACTCAACACTGCCCATATACTCAACACTGCCCATATACTCAGCACTGCTCATAGACTCCACACTGCCCATAGACTCCACACTGCCCATATACTCCACACTGCTCATAGACTCAACACTACCCATAGACTCAACACTGCCCATAGACTCCACACTGCCCATATACTCAACACTGCCAACAGACTCAGCACTGCCCATAGACTCAACACTGCCCATAGACTCAACACTGCCCATAAACACAACACTTCCCCTGTACATGAATCAGTCCCGCTCCTTAACCTCCCTTCCGTTCCTCCCTTCAACCCTCACCTCTTCTCCATCTCCCATTCTCTTCCCGTCGCTCGCCCCTCCAGGGCCTTGTGCCGGGCGTTTTGCCGCCAGGGCCCTGCCGCGTGCTTTTGACGACCCGGCGTGTTCCTAGCGGCTTCCCTGTGGCCCAGTGACCTCGCTCTCTCGCTCGCTCTCTCGCTCGCTCGTCGCCGCTGGAAAAGCGCAAGAGAATCCAAATTTGATTTTCCAAATGCGCTAAAGGGGGTGGGGTGCTCGCGGAACTGAGACTCTCAATTTAATTTGAAGATTCCTCGAGGCGTTCACTTCTCGTACAGGGAGGGTTTCAATGTGTTGATAAATATACACGTTTATTTATTTATTTTTGAAATGCAACTTGCGGTATACACACCAGGTGGTGGGGGAACTTTTTTTTTGTAACTCGCCGTGAGCCACAAAGGACTTTCCTCCACCGGGAATTGAGCTCAATATGTGTACACAAAGACAAATATAAAGACTCCCCCGTGTCGCCTTAACGTGCGTTTTTGGGGCAAGTGCAGTTAGCGAGCACCTATTTGAAGGCCGGCACGGCACACGAGGGAGTGGGTGGCCAGTACTACGCCCGGCCGCCTTTGTCTCTCAAGTGGCAATGTTTACACGTTGTATCAGGTAGTAATTTGAGGCTGAGTCGACCTAGGGGAGGACCATGACCCGTTCAGATATTCCTCACTGGTTGTTGGTGGCATTGAGTGGGAATCGAACTCGGGTCGGCTGATTCGTCGCGCTGTGTGCTAACCGCTACACGACCACTCCTCCATTCAACCACACATTAACACACACACACCTTAGAGGCCCTTGCTTTGACAGAAGTCACCGAGGGCACTAAAATTAGAAACGCAATGTTGCTGCCACGTCGAAAATATTCCCCTCCAGGACCTGATTAGTGCGGCTAAGATGCATTGCAGCGACGGGCAAATATTGTTTGCGGGCCCATGGTGGCCTCGCTTGGCTGAGGGTCGTATGAAATTGAGTCACGGATAACTTCAGTGGCGAGCAATATAGTCGCTGGAACAACTTGCCCCTCTTCTCTCGCCGCCCCGACCTTCGCCAACCGTACCTGAATCGCACAATGAAGGTTGGTCTGGGATTCATTTCAGGCCAAGCTCTGTCGGGGCTGAGCTCCAGAAAATAATTCCCCCACCCCCTGCTCCTCCCATTGTCCAGGGAGGCGGTGGGGGTTCGTGGGTTCCGCGTGGTTATGGTTCGGGGGGGGGGGAAATAATACAGAAGGAATTAAGCCCTACGTACGGTCAACAATAACAACAACAACCGCCGTTCGCCACTAAGTGGCGGTGATGTCACCACGGCGCGTGAGCCAGGCTATGTGCACCTTGAGGCCACGTGAAGTGTCGAACGCCCGCTGGCAAGGAGATCACGGGACAGACCCAGGTGCCCTGGGTTGACTGATTGAGATGACTGGCCGATGCACCACCTGTGCCCCGTACAGTGGCAGCATACGGTCAAACAGCCCCCCTGGCCAACAGGGCACGGGGAGGTCTTCATTCAGCAGTATATTGACAAATGGCTGAGCGTTTTACAGACAGAAAACTCCTTCCTTTAGAACAGCTTTTTGTGTTGAGTGTGTTGTCCTTCCCCTGCACCAACAAACATACGTTATTATTATTTTCAATAAAAAATTTCACCTGAAATTTGTAATACTAAATTCTACCTCTGGCCTCCTTTGCAAAACAAAAACTTCACCCAGTGACCGAATTAATTTGTTGATGGAAGGTAGCCTCGGGACTGGTGAAGATGTTAATCAGCCGATTTTTGATGCCAAAAACTAGCAACAAAAATGTACCTGGGAGCCTGCACGTGAATTTGGACATTGTTTTTGTTTTCTTATCTCA